TAATAAAGGGCAATAACTTCAATAAGGAGTCAACTAACAAATTCGGTCATGTGGACTTTTGTAATGTTGTCTTGCTTATGATTGTTTTGCTGAAGTTTCTATCTTTCTCATCATTGTTTTCAAAATAGACAAAAATGCAAAAAAAAAAAGGGAAAAATGGTCATTAAGTGGCAGTTACTTTAATAAAGGGTCAACTAACAATTTTGATCTTAGTTACTTATTTGTAGATCTTGTCTTGCTGATCATTTTTGCTATCTTAATGTTTCTGTCTTCTATTATAATTTCAAAGATATTAGTCAAAAATGGAAAAAAAAAATGATAAATTTTGTCATTTAAGAGCAATATCTCCTTTAAGAAGTTGTTCTTTGTGCAAACAATGTAAATATGTGCCCTCTTGTACTTAAAAGTTGTTTAAAAAAAAAAAAAAAAAAAATCACATGAAATTTACCTCATAAAAGAGATAGTCATTACTTTGAGGGGTTGTTCCCAACCTGTTAAAATGGCACCAATATATAGAACATAGCTAGAACATCTTCTTCCAAAGAACTATTTTATTATTTTGGTTTTTAAAAAGTTGGTTACCTTGAAAATTGACAATTTTTTCCAAGTTTTCATAGGCTTTTAACTTCCCAGTAAAACATGTTAGGGCTATTCATCTTTTGGAAAATTTGGTGCATTTGAAGAATCCATGACAAATCGCCCCACTAGTAAATCGCCCCACTTTTTCACCAACTCGTCCCACTTTTGTTTGCCAACTCGCCCCACTTATGAAAAGGGTAAAATCCCATTGAAAACAGGTTGGATAACTTGCCCCACTAATGAAAAGGGTTAAAATCCAGCTGAAATAAGGTCTGCCAACTTGCCCCACTCATGACAAAAAGATAAACCACGATGAATTTAGTAATGCCAACTCGCCCCACTTATGAAAAAAGATGCAATCCCATTGTATGTCTATGTTCCTGCCCCACTTATAAATAAAATCAACACCTAATGAAATGAGATTAAGTATGATTTTACCTTTTTTCATTAAATGGGGCGATTTGGCAGGAGTAAAATTAACGGGATTTAACCCTTTACACAAGTGGGGCGATTTTTTTAAAAGTGGGGCGAGTTGGTAAACCAGTTTGGGGCAATTTTTTTAAAAGTGGGGCGAGTTGGTGTGGGGCGATTTGTCCTGCTTCCCATTTGAATGAATAATGTGCCATTTTAAGTAAAATAACTCAACCCATCCTGTTAAGCAGATCTCATCATTTTATACATTTTTGCACCTGTCAATTGTTTTTTTTTTTAAAGAAAATAAGACAAAAATTGTATTTAACCCCTAAATTCTATTTTTAACCATGTCTGCCATGTTTGTCGGCAGGTTGGGTCATCAGACACATTTTTAAGCAAGACATCCCATTCAATTGATGATTGTGGCCAAGTTTAGTTAAATTTGGTCCAGTAGTTTCAGAGGCTATGATCTTTGTAAAAGTAAACAAGAAGCAACAATGACCTACACCAAGTCAGGTATGCTAAAAAAAAGTAGCAAGATTGAATTCACAGATCAGGTTAATTGCTTGGACTGTGCAAGACCCTCATTGGTAGTCAAGGTCTTTAAAAACCCCTCTTGTAGTGGTTATTGTTCACATGATAGTCAACAATATAATCTAATATCAAAGGGGTTCATTTTGGTCAGTTGAGTATATTTATACAATTTGCATTTTAATGAGCAAGTACTACAAGTTTTTGGACAGGAGAGAATATCATATGCATTTCAATGAATAGTACTTTTAACAGTGACAATTTAAGGGCTGTTCTGATCATGAAATATACCTTCCTCTCACCAGAGACATATATGCATGTATATATCCAGGGGCGGATCCAGCCATTTTTAAAAGGACAGGTTCCCAACCCAGAAGAAAGGGGTAGTTCCAACCATATGTCCCCATTCAAATGCATTGATCGTCCCGAAAAAAAGGGGGTTGCAACCCCCGGCACCCACCCCCTGGATCCGCCACTATGTCTCTGCTCTAACAGACACTTGTTTCTGAAAATAATTAACTAAATTTATACTTTAATAGGTCGTCTATCCCACTGAAACTTGATACAGCGTAAATCTATATAAAGTATCTACAAAATGGTGTATAACACGCCTATTTGTGTTGTTGGAATTATTCATTGCGAGCCTTCCAAGCATGTCAACCATTAAATTATTTTGTCTTTTCAATAAAGTAATTTTCAAAGTGTTTTTTTTTTCTACCACTGTTGTTTTTACTGGGTAAATTTAGTAGATAAACACTACGAGCTAATTATCTTAGTCCAATTGTTATGACGAACCTTAAAGACACGGGATTCCATCTCAGCCAGAACAAATATCATGCCAAAGTCTTATAATGCTTTAAAACAGAAAACACAAGCTATAAAATAATTTTAATAGCCAAGTGTTTCAAACTTTTAACCAATTAATTTTGTCCTGAGAGTTATAAGTCTTAAGTTCGAAAATCTAATTAATTCTTTTAAAGATTACGGGAGCAATAATAAACACGTCTATTACCTTCGATGATAATGCTAAAGAGAATTTCCCGCCGAAATCTGAATAGGAAGGTTAACTCGAATAAAAACAAATAATTTAACCTATCGAACATAGGTTAAATTATTTAATTAGCAGAGCAGTAAAACTGTACATAAAATTTTTACACTTCAGTGATCACTGGTTTGAACTAGAATTTCTTGCATTGAAATCTACTCACTAGTTCGTTTCACCAGAGACATACATACACATCACTCTTTTTCTTCTTCTTCTTCCTGGTACGGGAAAGACTCCGGTGCCGGAGTGTGGAATATCCCGGAACTGTGGCGCTATGTACATGCAAATGGATGTCGAAAATTTTGTTACAAGATAAAAATATTTGCCACAGTTCAGTTACAATTTAAAATAACATTATATATGTAGGACTCTAAAGTGCGATGGGGACGTTAAAACGCGATGGCCACGCTAAAGTGCGATGGCATACGCTAAAGTGCGATGGTCTGATACGCTAAAGTGCGATGGTCTGTGCTATTAAGTGGAACACGCTAAAGTCCGATGGCTCAATACGCTAAAGTGCGTTTTTCCGCGAAAGTGCGTTTGTTCGCGAAAGTATGGACGTTTGCAACGATACTATCATTATGACGTTATAAGCCTTTTGTACAAACAAAAAATGGACGTGCCGTTAAACCAGGATTTGTGTCCAGATGAAGGGTTTATACTTGACAAAAAAAGAAAGAAAAGAGAAACTAATGATCCTAATCCGGAACATTTTTGGTCGGTATTGGAAGAGGTAAATTTGATATGCAAAAAGAAATTTGATGAAAATAGCTGGGGTGCTAAAAAAATAAAGGAGGAACTAAACTTACGAATGGGAGATACAAGTGTTAGAAAGTATTTGGCCAACTTTCTGTATGATGACCATTCTTGTTCATTGTACCACAGAAGTACAAAGGTAGGAGACAATCATAGAAGAGTCTTATCTAAAGAAGAAATGATAGTGGAAATTAACAACAATCATAAAATTGATCACCGCAAAAGTGACGCTATTTATGAAACATTAAGGAAATCATATTTTCCCGTAGTTCGTGAAAATACTAGATAACTGTTTAAGCAACATGTAAAATGTTCGCAATGCCTTGCAGAGGTTGATTTACCAAAGACACAAATAACTAGAAAACCAATACCAGCTGCCTATTCCAATAGTAGGTGGCAAATGGATTTAAAGAAGATGCCTCCATGTAAAGGATATAATTACATATGTAATATTGTTGACTGCTACAGCCGCTTTGCCTTTGGTGGACATCTTAAGCAGAAGACAGCAAAGGAAGTTTCCGAATTGCTCCTAAAATTTATCTATATATTTGGTCCACCTCGGATTCTCCAGACGGATAACGGGAAAGAATTTAACAATGCAGATCTTTGTGCAGTGATAGATGAGTTTAAAACAAGAAAAATTAATGGTCGTCCGTACCATCCTCAATCACAAGGTTAGTTAAAAAAACTGAATTGTACTATAATATTAAATAATAATTTAGTATCACCTATTCATTACAATAAAAAAAGCAATAGAAAGATATATTGCCTTTACATTATGTCCAGGTTTACACCTTTAACAGGCTTCTTTTTTTTTTAACTTTTTTATGAATATTTAAATGGGGACGCTAAAACGTTATTTTGTAATTTTTTTATACTTTTAATGTAGACAAACGGTATACCTATAAATTACTAAACCAAACTATTATCTTCAATATGCTATATTAATTAAATATAGAATTTAAAACAATGTTATAACACTTTTTTACACCATAATTTCAGGACGCGTGGAAAGATTTAATAGGACAGTTGTTGCATACTTTAGAGCCCAATTTGTTGACACAAGAGATTGGCCGAGTTTACTTGGAGAGTTTTATTACAAATATAACAACAGAGTGAACAAATCTACTAGACCAATGACACCCCATCAGAGATTTTTCAAGGGACCAAACTTTTCGATGGCATTAGAAGAACAGGTAAATTATATAAACTTTTTTAATTATAAATAAGAAAATGAGGTATCATTGCAAATAGGACAATGTTCAATTTAAACACAAATCACATATATAAAAACAAAAAAAAAGAGGTTGCAATACGATGTTTGATAATGATAAAACCCCACACTGAAAAGTACAGTTTAAAAGATCATCTTATAAACACAATTTTATACACGAATCCAACGGTTATATTTAAGAATAAAACATTACACCAAGTTTAAAGTTTGTGTTTATTATAAAATATAAGTAAATAGTTTTATTATTTCTGGTAATTCCTTCAAGTTAACACAGTGAAAAATGATTTTTGCATGTTGAACGTACAGTGACAAATATTACATGCATATACTGGACAATAACACTCAACCTTTTGTTTATTTATACTTGAATAATTTTTTTTATTGTACTGTTTATGTTTAGGTTGCAAAGTGTAATCTAACTAAAGAGGAAAAAAAATTTCTAGAGATGGCTCACGTGGATGTAGAGGAAGATGATGACGACAACAATAACTTGACATTAAATGAAAACTTAAAATCAGAGAAAATTAATGGAATTACTGATGCAGAACCCGGGGTTGTTAATCAGGTATTAAAATAGTTGCTTGTTTATATAAAATAAATTAAAAATAATGGAACTTGTAAAACAAAATATTTCACTAAAGTGGGTTGTCAATTGCACACAAGTCGTAAATAAGATTTTAAATATATCTATTACTTGTTATCTTATATTGTACCAGTGTATTATAAAGATTTCACATGAAAAATGTCTTTGTAGAAAAATAATGAAGACCAGCAGTCTGAGATGATAGATAATAAATTAACCACTGATTCTGCAACAATTGGTGCATTAAGTACAAATTCTGAGGTGAGTGCGAAAACCTTGTTCTATTTAAAAGCGCAATAATGATATAAATATTTCTATTAAACAACAAATTAAAACATTGCATAACATAAATTTGTATGTTTAAAATAAGTTAAAATTCCTTCTTGTTACAATACTTGATTTATAAAACATTTTAATAGAGTAGTTCAGGGAAAGCGTGTTCGCGACCTAGAATTCTGAGTGGGTCAAGCGTTTAATTAAAATTCATGCGAGAATATGCGAGATTTGGATGAACTGGGGGCAAAGTCATTTGGTCCAAATCAATATTCGATGTTAAGGATGCCCGCCGCTTTCCCGTTTACCTGTGAAGTCGTTGAGTGTCATCTGTTTTTTGGTTTATGTTTATGTTTATTAAAGTAAAAAAAATATTGTGTAGAATTTCGAGACCTAGTGTTTGAAAATAACGGGAGAAAATTGGGAAAGAAATTTGAAGGAAACTTGAAATTTACCTTGCAAATAACCAAAACGAAATTTTTGATAAAGAAGGAACGAGGGTCTACAAGTCCCTGGAAGCTTCCAAGAACTTCGAGGAAGTTTATGTGCAGAAATATCATCTTTGGAGATTGAGAATAATTTCCTGATACATGCTGACGTAATGGCATTAATTGCCAAAACAGTATATCATTCAACGGTGACACTGCATAATTTATTCTCTTTGGCTTGTGTCGGTCGGATATAGATAAACAGTTTAAACCATATGATTGTCATGTAAAACGGAGCTTTTTGAAAAGTTGTTTCTTGTCATAACACAAAGCTAGTTGATATTATGCGAAGTATTCAATAAACTATAACCATGGCTTCATAAATGTTATGTTTTCAATATTGTATAAATAGTCTGATCGTTTAACCTTGGAATAGTATATACGTTCCTTGTTCAACCCATAATAAAAAAGTTCCCATAAAAACAAACAGCTATGTACAGTTCGTCGTATGGAATTTTAATAACTCTTAGAAAAAAGCCACACCCACTAATAAGCTATACAATGTCTTTACTCGGACTGTTGCATTTTGAACAAACAAGTGAAAAGTCAAGCGCAATGTAGAACAAAACAGTTTCAACATTCATATATCATTATCATGATCTTGACCTGCATGGATATGCATTTAACTTGCAACTGGACGATTAAACAAAACGGTTATTGATGACTGCATGAAAAACTTTAACCTTAGACAAAACCTGAATTTAACTGTTAAGGAAAAACGAAGTCCATTTAGTAATAAAATACGGAGAAATGAAAATAAATATTTGCAAAATTTTGTCCTGGATACTGTATTTTGTTCATAAAGAAGCTTAAGTCCCAATTTCCCGAAATTCCATTATGTTTGACAAAGATTTTGATGTTAAACAAAACTTTAACCACAGACTGAACCTAAATGCTGACGCAGCCGGCGTTACCGCTGACGACGGAATCTAGGATCGCCAAGTCTCGCTTTCGCGAAATAAATTTCTCAAGCTTGTCAAAAACAAAGAAGTATGTCAAAAGATCCAAGTAGGCAGTTATTTCACTCATAAATCTTGAAGATCTCCTTGCTTTCGACAAGACGACAATCATTGTTTTTTTTTGTCTAGGGGGGGTGTACTTTTTTCTAAATTAATTGTAATATAACAATATTTTTTTTCACATTTATTATCATTTTTCTACCTATTAACGTGAATTTTCTGACACAAAAATAAATATACAACAGAACTGTTCATTCAAAGTATGTAATCAAATGCCAAACTATATATATGTGTGAACATTTACTTTCTGAAGATATAAAAAAATATATAAAGTATCTTTTATTCTGTTTAAGATCTTATAAAATCTCATTGAAATTAATTAGATATTCTGCATACTATATTATGTATGCTTCACGATAAGACAAGATAAAATGCTGAACGACCCAGATCCCTCCTTTCAAAATTGTCAATATCTGATGCATTTGAATTCAGCACGATACCTTTATGTAAATTTAATACACGCATGCAATCAGGGCTAGTATTTTGAACATATGTTTTAACGGTAACTGTCAGAACATGATTATAATTATTAAGGGTATATTAATTTTGTCTAACTGTCGCCTGGTGAGATACATAGTTTAAGGTAAAACTTCATGATACCATATGGCCTAGGTGTTGATTGACTTTTATTTTTATGACCTAAGATATGGTAATGAAATAGCACCCGTAACTTGTTGAATATATCTGCTAAGTGAACATCACAGCATGAATCTGTCCATTTTTGCGTGAAGGTGACACGCAAAGTCAGGTGACATATCAAACCGTTTCTTTTGTAATTAAGATTAATTATCATATAACAGTCAAAATAGTCTGTTTTAATCTGTCAGTGTAATCAACCACTTTTTATAAATAATCTGATTACAGTAATAACGATGCCGATCTTATAAATCAATAAACTGATAATGCCCCCAGTTCATCAAATCTCGTATTAGGCGAGCGCCAAAACAAGGATTCGGAGGTTTTTAATGCACATACCTAACACACGGCTATATGATATATCATTTGAAAGGTTTTTTATCGTACATTCAGAATTGCCTGGTCGTCAAATTGGGAAATGGTCACATTTTTCTAAAAACGGCAAAAAATGGAAAAAAATATATGTCATAATTTGACGATATTGTTCGAAAAATGCAGTTTTAAAAACAAATTCATCTGCAATATAATATGAAATATATCATTTGATAAACTATAGTCTATCTAATTTTTGTTTCTGAAATAAAATTTAAAAAAAAAGTGTTTAAAATGAAAAAATCTCGTATTTTTGTGAAAATCATAATTTTTACGGGTATTGACGCAAAACGCTCGGTAATATTTAATTTTGCATCGAAAACACACAAATTCTATTGGTTTTATATTAATAACATATATAACTAGTTTTTTAAGTTCTAATGTCTCGCCTAGCATGTTTTTTATACCGACAAAATATTGATAAAACTATATTAAAACATATCGTAAAACTGCTTTAAAGCGCACATTTACCATGTTTACAGCACAGTTAAAAATATATGTTATTTTGGTCTCCTGTTAGTTCGACAGTTATAAATACATTATGATTTAATTGTCTTAAGCTTGCCAACCACGTCAAGGTCGAAGATCACTAGCAAGTTTTTTTTTTTTTTTTTTTTTTTTTTTTTTTAACTACCACTTTCATCGCATACGGAACTTAAGTATACAACCATTTATTTCAGCTGGTAGAGTGATTACAAAAACACAAAATTAATAATAATATACATATTTACATTGAATAACATTGAGGCAAATTAAAATTTATGTTGCCCCTTCGCTCAAATACTCTTTCGTTAGTCAATGATATCGTTTTCATCTTCATCATCGTCATTCATTTGATCTTCGAGGTCGATGTCCTCTTTAGAATATATATTTTGGCAGGTATCTCTACCCTGACATGGACAAAGCTCAGTGCAAGACATCTGCTGCTCTCGGCAAATACATGACTTGCTACATATATATTTCCCCTTGCAAGAACATATTAAATCTTGCAGGAAATCGGACGTCATCATGCCTAAAAAGTAGACTGGATCCGGGCCATGTGAACTCTTTTTCCATCCGTATTCATAAGGAGACAAAGGATTTGGGTGATCGAGATGTGAGGACATACAAATTTTCGTTTGAAGACATGACCGCAAAACATGTTCTTTGAATGCAGGTTCGCTTGGTGGCAATCGCAACAAACTTGTGTCTTTGCATGTTGCAAGTTTAACACGTAACTTGTTTAAGTCAACATGTGATGAAGCGAATTTGTCTTTTGGGTCATACAAGCTTGAAATAAGCTCTCTGGCTGCTGACAACGATGTGGAAAAATCCATCTTGTCAAAGTTTTGGAGATTTGTAAACTTACTCGGAGATTTTCTTATCAACTTGAATACAGTCTTTTTGCCAAACCCAAATATAGCGGAAGTGGTATCACAACCAGTTAAAGCATGAACTGCAGGGAGAATGTTAGCTAGTAAAGGTGAAAGAGATTTACTTAACTCATGGATTGGTATGTACCTTCTACAGTCCCTAAGAGAATTAGTTGACCCCGTCAAAAACCACATTTGTTCAGTCGACACAAGAACCTTGAAATAATGAACACAGAGCACAAGAACATCTGTATCGGAACACTTGACTATGATTCGTCCCCTTATATTCAACTGCTGAAAGATTTTATCAGAGTGTATAACATGAAGCAAGATTCTTGTGTCTGCTTCTTCGTGCGAACAGAAAAGGTCTGGGAGATCGATTACATGCTCATTAGAGAGTTGTCGCACTATTTCTGGATTGGAAAATGCACCGGCAAGAACTAAACATTTATTTTCCTCCTGGAACATATCAGACAAATTGCGGCTCAGATAATCACCAAGGAAAGTAATCAGAGCTTGCTTGTTTTTGTTGCTTGATAGAAATTTTTTCCAGTCTGGAACAGTTCGGCCTTCAGCGATATGATAAACTTTTTGCGTAGTTGTTGTTGCCGATCGTCTATGACGCTCTGCTGATTTTATGGAATGTTCAGTGTCATAGCGATCGGAGACATCAACAACCTTGTCTGTGAATCGGAAGCATGATTGTACCTGCATAATGTAAGATTTGGCCAAGTCTCCAAATGTGGACATCCTTTTAACATCAAATGACTGAACTAAGCTCATGCCATCTCTTATTAGTACTGTAGCACTGTGGTCGAATGGAGGAATGTTAGGGACTGATCCTACTAAATATTCCAATTCATGGGCAAGATCAGACTTATTTGTCTTCCTCATAGTTCCATCGTCATGAAATAATGCAGTGGGAATGGGACAAATTGGATAGGATAAAACAGTTTCCACAGATACGTCATCTCTACATTTAGTTAGAGATAGTGCACGTCTAAACACAAGCTCGGGATTCAAATGACCTTTTACAACTTGCCCAGATTTGCATTTTAGTTGTACTTTGGGGTTCATATCTTCAAAGGTCTTCAGTCCTGATCTTTGGATGGGATGGTAAAAGCTACCTGCCTTGTCTGTTGATAGAGATGACTCAACAAATATCTTCATTTTAGTTCTTCCAGTTTCAACTGATTTTAACAGTGAATCTTCAATATCGTGACTTGCATGGAGACCAGTTGAAATGTTAATAAGCTGACGGGGGTGATTATCAACGTCAAATGGATTTGTCATGTTTTCTGTAATATAAACAATTAGATCTTGTACATGTTTTTCATCCCTTTTCATTGCAGCTGGTTTTGCTTCATCGTGACATTGATCATCAACCTGGACAAGACACGCACGTGCTCTCATTGCCGATGTTATCTGACTAAGCACATGCCTTGTAAGATTCCATCTTATCAATGAAGCCTTCTTCCTTGTTAAACCAACAATGCCACCGTCTCCTTTTGAATCTTTTATCACTGTTTTTTCTGTTGCCATGTCGCTCCAAACGCCATTGAACGATCCAACTTTTTGACGAACAGAGAAGAAACCCATCGAAAAAAGACCTTCTGCCTCAGTTGGCAAGTTTAGCATATCTAAAAGGTAGACAGGAGTCCATCTGGAATAATTGTTTTTGTTGGCTACAAAGAAGTAAGGAAGCATTGAGAAAATAGAATGCAAATGAAGAGACCAAAGGCCATTTCTTTCAGCTCGGATATTTATCAGCATAATTTCTAAAGCTTGTAGTAGCATATCCCAATAACGAAATGTAGGAGAAACATGACCACCCCATTCTCGAAACTCGTTCATTTTTGACCCAAGGTCGTCATTCAGAGCTTTTTCTAGACTCTGAAGCATGTCAAATGTACGGTCATTACTCGTAAAACTATCATGACACTCTGTGAGGCCTGCAAAAATGCTTTCAGGGATTTCTAAACACTTTTGTTGTCTGATCCAAACAAAGAACGAACAGATCCAAAGTGTCTTTAATGTCTCATAAAGGAGTGTGAGTCCTCTAACTGCACGGTTGAACTGTTTTCCTTTCCTGAAAGCATTTGGTCTACCGTTGCAGCTGCATACACACCGGAATCAACTAGCAGGTCGCGGAGACCACCATCTCCCCATATCTTACCTATTGATGAAATAAAACACGATAGGGTATGAAAGCCACCAAGACGTAAAATGTGTGATTTAAACTCAGAAGGTCTATCCCATTTTACCTGTTGTGCCACTGCGTACAATTGTAAATCAAAAGTTTGAATAGAAAATGGTTGACCAGCCTTCTGGCACATATCAGCACACCTTTTCATTGTTGTATACACAGTGCCCATGTCGGAAGCTTTTGCGTCAATGATTGGCGGATAGCTGACAACATGATAAGTGGTACTAATATTCGAGATCTGCTTATTGAATCCAGTCCAGAATGGAATTTGTTGTCCTTCAAACGAAGGTTGTTTGTATGGAAGGTCAACAATAGTCCTTGATAAATTTCTAAGGAGCACCCAGATAAGATCAGAGGTTTCAGCATAGGGAAGTACACACGCAGAAAGCTTTGAATAAACGTCACTCTTGCGGCTAGGTTCAGCTCTTTGCTTCGGCTTTGTAAAGGGAGCACATGTGGTAAGGGAAAATACTTTCTCGTCTATTGGCAGGGTTTTTATGCGACCTCGGGCGACTTTTTGGTGTTCCAGATGCTCAGTTTCACCATTTATCTCCTCACATACCTGGAATACCGCTCTTGCCATTGAATGGAAAGTATCCTTTCCATCAACTGTTTCTGCATTGATGTCGACATTATCAGCTCCTTCATGTATGACTGAGACTGTGCCGTTATATTGGCGAACTCCACTGGGGATGTATGTATTGTTTTGAACTTGAGATAATTCAGAGCACGCAAGGCTTGTAAGGTATCGCCTTACCTCATGATATGATGCACAAAATCCATGCGAATGTAATGTCTCGATCAAAGCTTTCGAACCATGCATATGATGTAACTGTAATGCAAGGCCAATGTAAAGGGGTGATAAAGCTTTTTTGTGCAATGAAACTATACATTCAGATAAAGCTAAGCTTTTCCTTATACTTTCAAATGGAATGTCAGATAAATGGTTTTTGATATCTACTTGGCTGTGAGAGTCATCGATAAGCCAATTTATAAAGCCAGTCAAAACAGAAGGCACAGTCTCTATAGATTTCGATAAAGACATTTCATCAACTGAAGGATAAGTATCCATAGGGACAACGGCATTTTTAATCTCACGTCTGAGAATTGAAGCAGCTGAATATAATATTTGGTTTTCGTCGGTTTGGTCGTTTTTTGAAGTGCATGCAGACATCTGCAGTTTAGTAAACTTTGTTTCGGCCTTGAAACGAATAGCAGTTCTAACTGCCTCGGGCAATGTGAGAGAACTACTATATACGAAGTTAGACTCCCCTTGACCGTGATTTACATCAACCACAATATGTTCTCGAAAGTGATTTTTTAATCTGAGTTGAAGTCTATAAGAAGTGTATTTAGATGATACGTCTTCTGGCAGAAATGATTTATATTTAGAAAGGAGATAAGACAAGGAGAACACCACTTTGTGAACGAACAATTCTTCGCTGATAGACTCAACAAATGAGGTAAATGCTTTATCGTGCATGGTACCAGTATTATTTTCATTGGTTTCTGCTTTAATTTCTTTTTCTCGCAAAAGGTATTTTGTTATGCAACCAGAGTGATATAAAGCATTTGATGTGAAATCTTTATCTGCAATTTGAAAGAGCATTTCATTGTCAGCATGTTTAGTTGCTGTTTCAAAAAGGCTTTGAACCCTCATAGACGAGGAAACACGATGAAGTTTTCGATCTTTTTTAAAGGTCTTGTTTTTACAAAAGATACAACACAAAAAATCTTGTGATAGCCTAGATCTAGTAAGGATATTTGGAGATGAACATGAACTTGTAGTTTCTGCTTGAGACTGCTGTTGCTGAACTTTTGCAGCAGATATACGACTTGATGGAGACGGTAGGTTGTGTTTGCTTGTATATGGCCTGTAACAAGTTTTGTGATATTTTATGTTGTTCATAATAATGTCATCTAATGTATCAACCTCACTCAAAAACAACCTAAACACATCATCTTGTCTTTGCCTTACAGCATTCATTAAGGTTGTAAAACCTCTATCAGTTGTCATACTGAGAGTCTCTTGTGTAATATTTTGACATATTATACAGCGTTGCCAATTTATGGACATGCGACCGCGCTTCATTGGAGGTGGCGCACATTTCACAGGACTTAGACACTCATCCATGATGAGTAATTGTGATAATATTTAAGAATATACTATTCTACAAAATGCAGTCTGCTGCTTACATATCACATACCAATATCGTTAGTAATGCTTAAAATGGTCTTTCGTTAACACATATACGAATATCTATTTAGTAATATGTTAAAACACGACTTGTGTTTTGGCAACTCAAATGTTACCTGTGCATATTAGATACTCGATTTATATAAATTTTGAGCGTCTGGGATGAACACGATACAGATCCGGAATACCGTTTAATAATGCAGATTTTAGAGAAGTCGTCAAACATTTATTATCCATCATTGAGCTTCGATGTGTGTCGCAATCTTTTCAAGGTATATGGAATTTATAAAAACAAAACATATCAGAGTTTTAATAAGTCATTGACACCGACAATCTTAAAAAATATGGTATTTTTTTTACATTTGAGAGTTGGTCTGACAGATGACTCTGAATTAACTAATTTTTCATAAAATCTTCTTTTTTTTGGATTCGATGTCTTTTTAGAATGTAGTCAAAGCTATCTTAGATAAAAATGAATAATATATTTACAACAATGCCGATATATTCAATGTTAAATGTCACCGTATAATCCAAAGTATTTCGACATGTCTGTGTTCTCGTGAGATTTGCAAGAAACGTGACCATAGGGAACTTTGACGACCACCCAAATCGTATGCTCTAGAAGTTTTTCTTTCAATTGATACCAAAATTAGCTGTGTGTTAGATAGGTGCATTAAAAACCTTAACGAGAGGCTTTTTCTCAAATCGGCGCTCGCCTATATCTAATCAGTCGATAACGCAAAATCACGATCGATCTTGCACATGCGCATTGTTTCCCTGAACTAGAGTATTGCATAATTATAGATTAACAGTGAAAGTGTGCATAAAAAAGCTCAAGAAATTATCAGAATGGATGCAGAAAATGATTATCAGGAATTTGTTGAGTCGTTGTGGAACACAAGAATTACCAACATGATCAATGAAAGTGAATCGGTATGTTACATAACTGTTTATTTTAATTGTTTTCAAATTAAGTCATTTTTATTTACAATTATAATTTAATTGTAATAAGGTTAAAAAAAATTGTAATGGAAGATAAAGTACTTGGAATTTGTGTACATAGTACTTGTTTGTGAATGATTATTTGTTTTCTTTACATTTCAGGTAATAACAGGAAATGAAACTATAACTAGCAATGTGCATTATATGCAGCCCGAAAATGGCGTTGAAAATGTCGAGGTAAGTATTGCTAAGATGTTTTGATCACTATTAAACGTTTAGATTGGGTAATTGGATTACATTTGAATTTTTAATTCTGAAAAAAAGTTCAATTGGTCACAAAATTTTGTAAATCTTATTATACTTTTAAAATTAATACCCTATTTAAAAATACAAATATTTCTGTCGTTTTAGGTAAATAATACCGTACAGACTTCTAACAGATCGAATGAAATGATACCGTCACAACAGCAGCTCCAAATGTCTCAGCCACTGCAAGATATCACAAATTCACAAATGATGCGCAATACAAGTTTACATCAAGTACGTAAATTTTATAACTTTTAAAAAAGTAGCTCTTAAAAATACAGCCTAAACACTATCAATTTCAATGGTATTTTTAAACGAAATTTATTTCTTTTTTACTGCATGGTGTGTGTTTAGGTATTACGAGTAATTATTCAAACACTTCATACAAATGTAAATAACTATTTATTCATGCGTACTAAGCGTTGTAAATAAGGATCTATACTTACTTAATAATTAATTTTGTTTTAAAAAGTTAGAATACAAAAATGAGAAGATGTAGTTTGATATCCAATGAGACAACTCACCACTAAAGACCAAATGATATAGAAGTTTAGAGCTATTGGTCATAGTACGGCCTTTAGAAATGAGCAAAACCTATACAACATTGTCAGCTATAAAATGTCTCGTAAAACCAATGTAAAACAAACCAAAGGAAAACACCAACGGCGTAGTTTGTGTACAAAATGTTATGTACGCTTAAAAAATATAGAATATTATTAAACCATTTCTTATTTGCTTTCAGTCAGAAGTTAGCCCATATTATAAAGACCTGTATGCAAGGAGATTCATACAACATACTGATTCTGGTATGCCAGGCTTTAAACGCCGTCACTTGGAAACCGAAATCTATATGTCTGAAGTAAGAAACTTATTTATTGTGACAAAATATAAATAAGAATCAAGGTGAACAAATAGAGTGTAATCTATTATTTGTTGGTTACGTACTATTGAATGCTAAATCAAAGTATTATGACACTTTTAAGCAAAAAAAACATAATATTTGCATTAATAGCGAAATTTTTATATTTTAATTAGGGACTTTGTTTAATTCATAATCACTTGAACAATTTTTTTAATGATTGTTTCAATTTGTTACATTTGTTATTTTCATGCTTTGATTTAATGTTATATTTTATTGTAACTTTATTTTTACGCTTTTCAGAATCGTGAAGAATGGGACAGTAGCATGTATCCGGAGGAGTTGTTCCCCAAAAAAGTATCCAAAATTACAGAAATGCAAACCTTTCATCCTGCAGTTAATGAAATTATTGACTTAAAACCAAATTCAGCTCTATCAGCGTGAACAAACGTTTTTCTTTCAGGATATTGGAAGAAAGGACTTGTTATAAACATTGAAAATGACGACAGTAAGGGGAAGGTATATACCTTAAAAGAGCTTGAAAATGGCAAAATTCATCAAGTTTCTAAATATCTAATTCGTCCAAATTTGATTTAGACAATTATTTTATGAATTCCATGTCATTTAGTTGGGTCAATTAAAGTCTACTTTTTACTTTGTAATTGAATTATTTTATAAAATGTTTTTTACAATAGGTTTTATTATACAGATATCAGAAGATGTGGCATGAGTGCCAATGAGACAACTCTCCATCCAAGTCACAATTTGTAAAAGTAAAAGTAAAAGTATGTTTGTTAAAGAGATTCATATTCGCTAATAAGACAGCAACTTAAAAACTAGAGATGTATTATCATAATATGATTGCCAATGAGACAAGTCTGTGAAAGAGACGAATACTGGTCATCAAGACAGTAACGAAACGACCAGAGATTAGTATCATACTATGATTGCCAATGAGACAATCTCTATCCAAGGCTAAATGTCATTAATTCTAATCAACTATAGGTTACCGTATGGCTAACCCCGCAGATATTAATCTATAAGTTAACGCCCAAAGGGTATTAAACGACAATTGAAACGGTCTGATTTATATACAAAACAAAAAACAAAAACAAATGCGGTGTATTTGTCAACGAAACAACTATACACTTAAGACAAAATTTCGTTGGTGTATGCACCTAATTACATTATGACCTTCAACGTGGAGCATTAAATAAGGCTATATAGGACAACACAATAACTAGTGTAAAACAATTCAAAAGACGGCATGATTCATAAATAATACAATAAAAGAAAAACTATTATAAACACATAAAAAACAAAAACCATTGCATTAACCCCATTCCCGTTTCACCATCGGATTAATGGTGTGTTATACAAACGCACTTTATCGTGTCATATACCATCGTACTGTTTCATGCAATACCATCGCATTTCAGCGTGTTATACCATCACACTTTAGCTTGTCAAATACGATCGCATTTTAGCTTGCCGGACCATCGCACTTTAGCGTGTTATACCATCGCACTTTAGCGTGTCTTATACAATCGCACTTTAGCGTGTCATACCATCGCACTTTAGCGTGTCATCTATTTGCACTAAAACAAACAAACAACCATCGTACTTTAGCGTCTAACACCATCGCACTTTAGCGTAGACCATCGCACTTTAGCGTGACAATCGCACTTTAGAGTACCATCGCACTTTAGAGTCCTACATATATATATGTTTATTATCCTCCTTTAAGAGAGTATGAATATACATGAACATAGATACAAAATAATTTATAATACAGAGTTAACGTATTAATTTTGAGAATGTAAATAAAGATTTGAATAGAATAAATGAATAAATAAATAAACTTAATAATTAAATAAATAGCTATCTTAATGAATAATTAAATAGATAATTGAATAAATAGAATAGATAAATAAATGTTCAGATAATCGAATAATGTCTATTTAGATATTTCAGTTGTAATAAATATCAAATTAACTGTCATATTCCTTACATAACCTATTGATAAACTTTACACAAGAGTATGTGAAACTGTCTGCATCTGATTTTTCAAGAAGGAAAAATTTGTCACTGTTACATGATAGCAGAGTTAGTCTTCCATAGCATGGAGCGTTGCGCTAAACTCAATGGGTCCAATATTAATCAGATCTATCCAAAATAAGTCTCTTGTTGACGATACACTACTACATTGTATTAAAATGTGCACAATTGCATTGTCATAGAAAAAACCACACTTATGGCATAACAGTAATTCAGCATCAGGTTCGCTTGGTCTTACCAGAGCACACAGAGATATAACATATTTTGCTTGAAACTTCAAAGATGGGTACTGGCGTAAGATAGTCCAAGCACGATGTGGTTCAATAGAATTATGAATCAGTTTAAAATATTCGAAGTCATGATCACTATCTAGGCGTTGTTTGAGAACGTTTTCTTCATACTCGTATACACGTTTTTTTTAACTATCGATTTCCATTGGTTCTGCACAGGAAAGTAGCTTGTCGATAATAGTTTTTCAATATGGCCTACTAAATTATATTTCTGCATAATCCGGATGACATCATTCACAAAACCAAAGTTATTTTCAGTGCATTTGTGGTAAAACATCAAAAGTCTTGACATAAGGACGTTTTTCGGCAAATATTTAGATGGCATATTGCACAGCTTTCCAAAGAATAACAACTTATTAATGTTAATGATACTTTCAATAGGAATCCATCCTAGCAAAGAAGTACACTTGTCAGTTCTGGTCAACTTAGGTAAACCTTGTACGTATTTGCAAATATATCGATGCGTTCGTTCAAGTAGTAATAGTTCGTGTTTAGTCAAGTTGTTCCACAGTTCGCATCCATACAGGCCTTTGCTATAACATAGCTGGACAATAATTTTACTACATGTGATGGGATTAAGTAGAGACGGATGGACACCTATAATCTGATAATAGACATATGAATAGAACGTATTGTACGACAGGCTGCTAAAGTTCTCTCGGTTGAATTAAATCTAGCATCAAGTAGAATACCAACATGTTTCACACTATTACACACTGGAATTACATCTGTATTTAGTTTTAAATTTCCATACGTTTCGGTTCTTTTAGAAAATATAAGAACTTGGCTTTTACTGGGTGAAAACTCAAACTTCCATTTAACACTGTAACTGTAACAAATGTCAATCATACATTGCATTCCGGCAAATGTTGGCGATATAAGAGCGATGTCATCGGCTTGTACAGGGCACCCAACATTTAAATCTAGCATAACAGCTCCTTTCCCTGACGTAGAAAGTATATCAATAAGATCGTTTATATAAATCAAATAAAGTTTCGCTGATAAAGCACTCCCTTGTCGAACGCCCCTCTCAAGACTGAAAAATCTAGAGACAACGTTATTACATTGCACACAACTTTTAAGATCTCTATACATATGATCTAGCAATTTCCACAAATTGCCATGAATTCCAAGGTCATTGATCTTAATTTTTAGTCCAATATGTTCAACCGTATCAAACGCCCTCTTGCTGTCAAGAAATGTCACTTGTATAGAACTATTTCTCTCCTTGTAGTGATGTACTGATTCTTGCAAATTAAACGAGGCATATATACTGCTTAGATACTTCTGATATGCCATTTGTTGATTATTCGGAAAATTTATCAGTCGTTCATTTAGTCTATTATCCAGTAATTTTTCGAACACTTTTGATATGCAAGGTATAAAGGATATACCACGGTATGATTCGATATCAGACTTCAACTTTTTTCCACCTTTAAACAGCGGAATTACTACACTTGTTTTCCAATCAACAGGTGTTATACATTGATCAAAGATTAGATTAAAAAGGTTGCACAAATGTCTCAATAATAATTTTCCGCCGTATTTAAGATGCTCATAGGATATTCCATCAAGCCCACACGCTTTTCCATTTGGCAAATTAATCACAAGTTTCGATAGTTCTTCAAAATACACTGGTCTAATCGGTTCATTATCACATCGATTGCGAATAAGGTTTAAAAGTTTAATGTTGACTTTATCTTCAGTTTGATCTGAAGTTTTGGCGATTGCTTCAAAAAGATTTGCAAATTCAGCACAAACGCTCTTGGGATCATTTACAAGTTTATTGTTCAATTTCAGTAGGATATCAGATGTATTCCTTGATCGGCGACTATTTATAATACACCATGCTAAGCGTTGATCTACGTCGAGAGATTTTTCAATATCATTAGACATATCGGATACATACTCGTCATAGACTCGACGAAGTTCATTCCTAAAACAGTTCTTTGAGTTTTTATATGACAAATACGACTCATACTCTTTGCCACGCGGTCTATGGTCACTGATCCATACATTGCGACGTTGAATCATGGAATCATGTAACTCCGTTAGATGATCATTCCAATATGGTTTCAAATGTCTTCTATGCTTAACGATAGGAAGAGTATCTCTTGCAGCTAGAACAAGACCGTTGACTATTTCAGAGTAATATTTTTCTATATCAGTTTGATTCGTATCTACTGTCCAAAGGTTTTGTGAAACAGCAAACGCATAATCGGTTAAACTACCATTTGACAGAGCTTTATTCCAGGCTATGTTTGTTGAAGAATTAGACAGATTTAGACGAGTAAGTGAATCGCCTAGATTAAAGGTGCATATAATAGGAAAATGATCGGATAAGTTCAGTCCATGATCATCAAGAATATTTACATTTTCCGGTTTGAAAGGCATGTTATCTGGAACAATTATATGGTCTATTGTTGAGCAAGGACCACTTTCGTAGCCCTGAAAAGTATGTATAGGCCCTTTACAAAAAGTCTGTGTGTTTAATGAAATTAAGGAAAATTCATCTAAAACTCTTCGCAATAGTTTGCTTCGATCGTCTTGAACACTGCTGACACGTGGTCCTTGAACTTTCGCATTAAAATCACCAGCAAAAATTACTGTGCCATTTTGACTATATACAGAATAAAGTTCGTGCAGTAAATCTACATATTCTTTAAACAATTCGACAGAGAGAGAAGCAGCGGGTAAGTATACACAGAAGAAGAAAATAGTCACATCATTAGGTAGATGCATTTTATTACCAATAATCTTATCCGAATCGACATCAATTTCATGCACAACATAACGATCGATATTCGATGAGACTAACAATGCAACACCTTTTCTGTAATTAGAACATTTCTGTGTCGTTGGTAAAAGTTCGTCGACGCTTTTAGCATAAATTTTATATTTGCTATCAATCTGTTGAAGAAAGTGTATGTTACATTTTCGAAGCCAGTGTTCAGATAATGCGCAAATGTTAATATCGTATTTTTCCAAACAATTTGCTAGATAAGGAACAGCCGACATGACGCCTTTACAGTTCCACCACATTATGTTTATTGTTTCAGTCATATCTTTAGATTTTTGTGAGTTGCTTATTCACCA